AGTTCAATAAAATTTTGAATGCGAGTCAACAAACGAGATGACATAGTCTTTCACCCATGACCCCATCTCGAAAGGGATAATAAACTATAATGTTTAAAAACTACTTATCCAATACAAAAAGGTGCATTTCTACTATGAGAGATGATGTTGGTTTAGCCTACTAATAAATACATGCACTGACTTTTCCTAGTCATTTCTGGAACTTCACTAAAATCACAAAAAAAATGTGAAGTTTTATGTTTTAGTATTCCATTTACTATCTAACAAGCAGTATAAATGCCTCTAACATACTAACAGTAGGATTATTTTTATGAGCTAATGTTTAACCACCCTTGAATATGTACAACTCCTTACCTGGCCCCTTGACAACAATGGTCAGGTTTTTATCTGCCTTGTCCTTGACTTATTGACATAGATTCATGAAATAGTAGTTCAATAAAATTTTGATTGCGAGTCAACAAACGAGATGACAATGCCTTTCTCCTGTGACCCGTCTCGAAATGGTTAAGAGGCTTTAGAGGTTATGCAAATGAAAGTTGAAAGTTATCAGGTGAAGAAAAGTATTTCTAATCTTAACATAAAAATGACTTTGCACTTGGAGCAGTCAACACACTGGTTCCATATATTTATGGAAAAATCTTTAGTTAAAGCACCTAATTAAAAGGTCTGATTTTTCATGTACAAAAGACTTTTAATATTTACTGAAAGCTTGCCAAATTTCATGAAGGTACATGAAACATTAGTATGGAAACTTGTTACTTTGTGGTTACAAGGTTGGTTACATTGACCGTATGGAAGAGTTAACTGATAACACTCTGGAATAATTGCCTTTCACAAAGAAAGAACAAATTAGTAAAAACAAAATTCATCTTGCTCCTATATCCTTGTTTTCAATTTCTATTTCCAGTTATGATCATTGATATTAAATTTTCCTATTGGAAATCTATATTTAGATACAATATTTTTTTCGGTTCAAAAAATTTTGTTTTCTTTACATAAGGTAGTTTTGAATTTGCTGTAATTGTTTTTAAGAATACATATTGGCTAATCTTTGATGTAAGGATTTCCAAATAACTGCTATTTACTTACACCTTATATTATCCGTGTAATTCTAAAACCAGATGATAAAAACACATCCTTTATTTTGCTGCTCACTTTTACCATTTTCATTTACAAAATGCCAGCACATAACATGCTAAGACCAGTGTGGAGTTTGATATTTTCAAAAGTTTTAATTGGTATTATATGAACTTTATTTTACAACTGACTACAAACAACAACATTCTTTAATTCTAGGTTAATTAGCCACCTGTATACTAACTCCTAAGAAACTTGTACAAACAGATATTTGATCATTTTCAACTATTCACAACTGTTGGCTTCAAATCTCTGCTGCATGTGACAAAGCAGATCAGATTACTATAAAATAATGCAAATGTTACTTTGCACATTATTCCAACACTTTATAATTGTATAACATAATGTTTTAGGACAACATGGGACCTGTTGGTCCATCTTGGCTGTTCCATCCTCTAAACTAAACTATTGATAAATAAATTTAAAAAAAAAAATCTTAAAGCCAGCCCTTATCATTCATATACTTATCAAGCTTTCTCTTAAACTCACTTAAATTTGTATGTTTAGATTACCTATTTTGTAACATAAAAAATAACATAATTCATTAATTTATAAAACAATTTATGCCAGAGATTTAAGTGAAATCTTCAAAAAATTACACATAATTATCTTTTTTCTTTTCTTGCACACAGTTTTGAACTGTGTTGCAGAATAATATTTGTTCTGTTCTGCTCTATTCCTTTTTATATTCTGCCTGTTCAAAAATGTTAGTTTTCCCCTTTGCTAAGTAATTCAGTCTGTTGTTCATAATTTTTAGTAAATGACTTACTCATTTTTTTATTAAGTAAAGAAATGTCGTGAATATGAACCTTCTTAACTGTATGTTAATGGCATTTAGGATTTGGATCAACCCAGTTTCTGTGAAGTTATACGTAGCAATGTTTACTATAATTTTGATTTTACTAACTGTATCTTCACGAAATTGTGTAGGCTTTTAGTAAACATTACAGGTATGTAAATAAAAAATATCAGGAATATGAATAAAATATTTTTACTAAAGGTTTGTCTGAATTTACTGAGTCAATCTGATTTCAGGCTCTGACTGGTCTGAGTGCAAGGTGATTTTCATATTAAGGATAAAAATATTTTTTTTCATTAAAACTTTATTTTTTTTGTTATTTCCTCTACCCTAAAATTTATTATAATGAAATCAGCATTGTAGGTTGAAAAATCTAAAATAAATCTAAATTACTATTTTTTTCTTTCTAGAATGAGTGCATATTGTAACAGATGACTTTTCAAATCTGGGTTCATTTAGTTTTATTACTTTGCAAAGGCATTTAAACCCTCTTTGAGTATGCTGAAAACAATTTTATCACTGCTGAACTGTTTTATGTAAACAAATGGTTGAATTACAAACACAACTCAAGTGTATTACAAACAAGCCTCATCTACACTGCATGCTATAATGTTGACCATTATTAATTTTTTTTCTCATTAAAGTTTTCTTATCTAACCTAATAAGTTTCTGATTACTGAGTTTTAGTAACTTTTTTTTTAACAATAAATGTAAAATACAAGAAACCTAGTACTTACATTTGGAGTTCAAGCTTTTGCTCTCGACCTGTAGTCCTATTTTATTTGTGTTCCAAAATACTTCAAATGTTTATTTTGAATATGAAATATAGAATACAAAACATTATCATGCACAAAATATGGAATATCATAAAACTGTCTTTCTAACTAAGCTACTAATAAGTTCAGAAAATTCTGTTAGCTTCTTGGTACTCGGAAATAATCATCACATATAAACATTCTGAGGTGCATGATATACAACTTTGCTTCAAAATGAAAGAACCTTTACCAAAATCTTGTAGAGGATAAAATTATATTTCTGTTGGTTATAAACTTGTCTATAATAGAACTGTTATAGATAAATTCTTTCAAAGCCATGACACTATGGGAGGACCCTCAATAGTGGGTATAGTAAATTTGTATCTTGCTGATTCAAGAAGGTGGAAAGCTTTTATTTTAGATTAATACCTTTCAGTGTATATAGTTTGACTTTCTGATTTGTTGGTCTCTCTTACAGCCTTAGAATGGAAAAGTCAGAGAAGATATGTGACACGCAAGTCAAAATTAAGAATTTCTTTAAATATTTTCTTTTGGACTTAAAAAAAATTAGAACTAGGATAATATACAATTTTGAATTATAAACTCCAAGCCCATTCCTTTGGCTGTGACAATAAAGTTATTTAAATTTAACTTAAAAGGTCATGATGTGCCCACTTTGACCATCCCACACAAGGGATTAACATCACTGTTCTTGACTAAAACTTGCATTATAATCTCATTCCAGTTCACTGGAAAAATCTAACTTCAGTAACAGTGAAGTGTTTAATATTTTTAAATGGCAGCTCACACAATTTTAGTGTTTAGCAAAAATGCAGCAGTGTTACAGATATACAGGAAATGAATGTAAAATTGTATTCAGCACAAAAATGCATGCAGTAAGGATTTTTTAAATAAAACTTTGGCTTAAACCTGCATGCAGTAAGGATTTTTTAAATAAAACTTTGGCTTAAACCTAACACTAATTTTTTTTTTTTTTCAGGTTTGACTTCAAAACTGGATTACTTTGATTCTCTTGGTGTGAAAGCTCTTGCACTGAATCCGATCTATCCTTCTGGGTCTGAAGTTGGAGGTTATGATATAACCAACCATACAGACATTAACACTGACTATGGTACTATGGCAGATTTTGAGGATTTATTAAACAAAATGAAAGACAAAGGTATGGTTACTTTCATTATTTAGACTTAAATGTCAGTGTTCAGCATCGTGTTGTTGAAGATGCACAAAAAAATTTATATGTGCCTGAAGGATTGTGAGATTTTCTTTTTATTAATGGAATATAATTTCTTAAATGAACCAGCTGGTCTGTTTTAAAACCTTAGATTTTTGAGTTGAATATAATACATTTATAAGATTTATTGAAAGCCATTTAAAGTTAATTGTTTGATTGTCAGGTGTGTGGGGGTGGGTTTGTAACCTGTAGATGGAATGTGTTTTTCTCCCTTTACTAATTAGTGATGTGAATATTATTTAAAAAAAAAAATAAATTTTATTGATGTGTAACTTCATAATAACTATATAAAAAATGTTTGTCCTTGTTGAATGTCCCATGAATGAGTGTTACTGGGATGACCTTGATGAATAATTGCATAGTAACCTGGCAGTTAATAAAAATGACCTGATCACTTTAAAATCTGTTCACTTGGGAACAACTTGTTTTATTTTACATTGACCTTTAAGAAATATTTTATAAATCAGTATTTATGAGTAACTAATATAATTTGTATGTGTAATACATAGCCATTACTGAAAGACCTGAAACTTAAGATATTTTAAAACTTGTGTGAATAATCTGGAAATTTGTTTATGATCAGATTTAAGTTTAATGATAGAGATTTAGTGATATTTTTATAGGTTTTTAACTTCATAAAAACCTTGGATGCAGGTGATTTTTTTTAATGTACTTATCTATCTTTGCATGATGTGACACTGCAAATAAGATATAGGTTTTGTTTATGTTTATTTAGAATTGCGGTGATGAACAAAAAACATTTAAATGTATTGCAGTTGTTTGGTGGAAATTACTGGTATGACAAATAATTACTGCCATCTATAGGTTAAGAAAAAACAAACAGCATTCATACTGTCTCCAAATGAAGTGGCAAAGTATTTAGGCATATGACCCTATTAATTCTTTTAATCCCCATGTGATCAGTATTTTATGTCAGATTTATTCCATATATTATACAAAAGTGTAATATGTAAAAAGTTATATTGCTATGTATGAAGTATTTACACTACTTGAGTGTGGTTCTATATCAGATAATCATCTGCTGTTTCCATAATGTGTGTGAACTTGTATATCATCGTGAAGCTGACTGTATTCTGTATCCAGCATTATGCACTGTATCATATAGAGCTATTTTTTGATATTACACATCACCCTATTTTTTTTAAATAGTGTCTTAAATTTTTTGTTTGGTGTAGCTCCTCCTAATCCAATTAATTCAGTAGTTATATTCTATCAGTGTCTGCTCACTATGTTAACACCTGATTGTATCATGAAAAAAACGTCAAATCGGAACCAATATTCTCAGTGCATTGTGGGTGAAACCACAGGAAAACAAGCATAAGCTTTTTTCTTTTTATATCATCTTGGTAAAACTATCTTTGTTGTCAAATTTAGATTTCATAGCCATTGTCTGCTTATCTTTGAAATTAAACCTGTAGTTTCTTTCTGTAAGCTGATTATATTCATCACTGTCTATTTTGTAAAGAATATAACTAGAAATTGATACCATGTGAGTGCACAAAATCTAAAGTTCTATGACTTTCATTGGTCACCTTTTACTGAGGACAGTTAATGCACATATTTTCATTAGCCACGTTCAAGCCCTTATATCATAGTGAAACTGTTTTTATTGGGTAGAATTCCCAACTGTGACCTGTCTTACTTACCTAAATATTGTTTTAATACCTAGATATGAAAATAATCTTGGACTTTGTACCAAACCACTCCAGTAATAATCACTGGTGGTTCCAACAGAGTGAAAAAAGAGTGGATCCATACACAGACTACTATGTGTGGGCTGATCCCAAGCCCTCACCTGATGGAGGCAGGAAAGAACCTAACAATTGGGTAAGTGTGAGTATATATATAAATACACTGTAATTTGTTTTATCATTTTTCTGGCTTAAAAAGTATCTTGTTAATATTGAAACAGTGACTTGTATTAGATACAGATAAGTGTTAACTTCTCTGTAGGCTACACTGAATCCTTTATGACTGTTGTCAATAGTATTGATAATTGTGATCTCTTTATTAACTCTAGATACTTTGCTGTCTGGCTGAATTATTATTTTTTTACTTTCTGTACATTTTAGTTTATTGGTAGAAACATGTAGAACAACTTAAAAATACTTGTATTTGCTGCAGTATGTGTTCCTTTTATTGTTATTGTAATGAGTTAACTATACAAAACAATTGTTAGGTTTTTACAGCTGAATATGGCATACAGAAAAATCTCATCCTATTAAATACTAATTTTATTTCTCTCTAGAAAAGTGTTGATGGTGGGTCTGCCTGGGAGTGGAGCTCTGTTCGAGGACAGTACTACTTGCACCAGTTCAAAGTTTCAGAGGCTGACCTGAATCTGAGAAATGAAATTGTTAAAGAGGAGCTCGTGGTAAGTAATATGCTATACCAGAGACTTAAAAGTAGCAAAGTAATTTATACAGTTTAGAAAATTATGTTTGAAAGCAAAGTTTAAACCGCAGTTTATCCTTAGTGATGTACTTGTTGCCTGTGTGTTGCCATCAAAGTACATGAGTGTTTTGGGGTATTTGTAATGTTTCTTGCCTTAAAAAGACTAACCATTCTGTTATCAGATAGGATCATTTGATTTTTTTCATAATTGTTTAAATTTTGGTTATTGTTCATGTATAAGTGATGAATGTTATTTAAGTGGATGTTTTTTTACAAAAGTATTGGTGTCATTAGTTGGAAAATGAACAGATTCAGAGAGACTAGACCAGTTCATTCTAATATTTCCAGGTAAGTAACTTGAAGAGTTTGGAAATGTTATCAAAAAACTGATTTGTACATTAGGCAACATGGACAATGACTGCTATATGCTTGTGTGACATATGTATTAGGATTCATTAGTCCACTGCCCATTGACTTCTGGACAGTAACTGGAAGAATTATCAATGATCAGATGGTAACAAATTAACCTTTTGTGGTGGACTCTGTATAATATACACAAATTAAGTATTTATAGTATAACTTTTAATGCAATAAGTGTATCTTCACAAAATCTGGTAGACTTTTATTAAAGATTACAAGTCTTTCATATGCAAAACAGCAGATTTCTTAATGAAGTATTTTTATTATAGATTTGTTTGTGAAAATATCAAGTCTGTTTCGTTACCAGTCCAAGTGTGATGTGATTTTCACTTTATACTTAAAAAAACTTGTTTGTCCCAAAAATCTCAAATGTTATTTGTGGAATATCTAAAACCTCCTAAATACATTTCAAACGTTTGTTTTCAGTATGTATATGTATATATGCTTATATCTTTTCTGTTATTTTCTCTACTCTAACTCTAAGGGGTCTGTCAATTTGACTGGCCTCATAACCACCATAAAAAATTAGGAAATATATTTAAATTATGGTTTTTTGTTCTAGAATTACAACAGATTATAACACGAAAACACAAATGTTTAATCTAAATTATACATTTATATATATTTATTTATTTATTATTTTTATTATATTGATTTTCCAGCCATGCTTGGCTAACAGTACAGAAGTTACATTGATGAGATGCATGTACACTCGTAATACCCTAGCCAATGATATAAAACTGACCTTTAAACTTTACAAAATGACCTGTCTTTGCTGTGTTTTAGTGAACTAGTATTTTGTAAAATAGTCACATTTCAATTATATTACATTGTATACACTATAATACTGTTTAGAAAGAAGTTCTTAAACTTATTTTTATTAAAAGATAGAACAGTAAATAAAGAAGTAAAGCAAACAATTATCTCTTCTAGTTACGACCTTTGTACTCGTTTGCTCTTTTTAAGCCTTATGAAATTTCCCACGTGAAGGATGTAAAAATAATTATTTTTTTTAGATTTTATATATACATTTTAAGTAACTCCCAAAAATCATAAATTACTATATTGATACCATAAAATTCCACCATAATTTATCAAGAGTAGTAAGTTAGCTGTATTTGGGTAAAGAAAAAATAAATAAATTTCGAGCTCATTAAACTTACCTTATCATTTGAAATATTGGAAAGATCGAGATTGACACAGTAACACGTAAAAATGGCAGAGAAAATCACTGGGGGGACATTCTGAGCTTTTTATTGGTTATTAATGTCATATATAGAAGTAAGTGTATATAAGGGAGCATTTCCAAAAATGGAAAGAGGTGGGCGGTGGCCACTGTGTTTGATTCAAATACATGAGCGATATCTTAGCAAATAGAAAAGATAAGAGGTTCTTATTTTATATTCTAGCTTGTCAATATCAGTAGTTTGAGTTTCTAATTCATACAAAACTACAGACTTTGTATTTTGACATCACAAACATCTAATTTGAACCAGTGCTGCATTTAACATACCATGTGACACACAAAAATCGATGTTCAATAGTGTTTTTTTAATATTTACTTTTAGATTAAGAAATTAACTAATGTATAATACTAAAATTTGAATTATGATCTACAATTTGGTACCAAACTTATTGACATAAATTTAGAAAATAGTACTTCAAGAAAATTTTGATTGCAAGTCAACAAACATGATGACATGGCCTTTGACACATGACCTGTCACAATAGGATAAGTCCATGGTAAGGCTAAGATTAAGAAGACTTGCTACAGTTGACAACACATCTTGTTTGTACTTAAGAGATTTTTGAAATTGGTAGCAAGTCTGCAAATGATTTGAGGCTTCATGTACCTATTGACAATTGACATGATAGAGGTGAAAAATAAATAAACTCGGTGCTCTTGGACCTAGTTATATGATTTTTCATGTGAGAGCAGTTGAACCACACTTTGTTTTAGTGCAGGATTATGATTTATTGCTTTGGGGTCAAAACAATGTAGTTGTTGTGAATTGGGTAACAAGAAGTCAATCTAAGTACCAGAGATCATTGCAGCCTGTTGAGATGTCTTAACTCTTCATTCATGCATCATCAGATTGTTTGGCATTACTAACGAGGAATGAGACAAAGGCAGAAAAAGAATAAAGAGAAGATATTTTTTCCAATTGTTTTACAGCAAATTATAAAGTCGTTTGCTCACAAAATAACAAACAAATAACAGTTATTGACTATGACATGGTTAGTGACTATTGTAAATACAACAAATTCAAATTTAGAGGGTGCTAAGGAAGAGAAGACATTGGAAAGTTAAACTCTTATAGATTTTTGAAAATGATTTAATAATATTATCATTTGTAGTAATTTAGGTTAAATAACAAAAGAATAACTAGATTTAGTAAGATTGGTAAAAGAAAGTAAGATGGTCAAAGTTTTAAGTTAAGAGTTTAGTGGTATAAATTGTGCTACAATGTTAAATTAGGCTTAGTACATGTAATGGTACTTCAGGTTTGGTTATAATGCAACTTACTGGTAAATCATAAAACAGGTTAAATACATTGTTTTATTAAATAAATACAATCTAAAGACTAGTTTATTATCTTTTCACGTTTTAAGGATTAACTTGAACGTAGATCCATTAGTTTATATTCAGCTTATAGTGATAGGTAGGCTATAAATACATTGTATTATTAGCATTACGTATACATCAAAGCTCTGTATAATTAAAGATAAACTTAATTATTTTATTGCGAAGATAAAGTAGTGATAAAATACTGTAATATATTTGATTATCAAATTTTAGGCTTAACAGTGTTGTCAATAGGCTACTGGTAGTTAGTGATGAGTATTTATTGCCAGGTTACATATACATTGGTTAATACTTGCTTAGAAGTTACGCGTTTGCAGTTTGTTGGGTGTGTGACGAGTGCAATGATTGGGAACTCTGGACTAGTATGTATTTTTAAGGAAGCTAGTAATGAACATGTGCAATTTGTTTGTAGAGTTTGCAGGTAGGAGAAGTTAAAGGCTATCCTAATTAAAGTAAAGGCAATAGATAAAGAGAAGTGTAGATTGTTGGAAAATGGCAGCAGGATTTTAAGGGAAGCATAAGGTTTTATATGAAAGGAATACATCAGCTAACAATGACTTTCAGGAAGTTAGAGTATTATTATGGCTAAAAATAGTGAAATTAATTGTTATGAGCCTATTCCATTGAACAAAAATTTCAGCCCTTGGCTTGTGCAGATAAGGAACTATTGGAGGGAAGAGAAAGATATGGATGATAAACTTAAGAAGGTTATAGTTATAGGTGATTCCTTAATATAGAATATTCTGTGGGGTAAATAGGGAGAAAGCACAGATAACCCTCATGTAACTTTGTGTGAAATTTAAACCAAACCAAAAATAGGGAGAAAAGAATTAAATTATGCTACTCAGGGGCACAGGTGGAGGATATAACTGACAGAGCAGGAGATATAATAAAGGGGGCTAGCAGAGATGCAGTTTTTGTGGTGCATGTAGGAGCAAATTATGTAAGAAAGTTAGGTCAGAAGAGCTACCTAAAAAGTAGGGTTGATAAAGGCATTTAAAGAAAAAGACCATAACTTAATTTTGTGAGAGATACTGCCTAGAATTAGTTGTGGAGATGAAGTTATAAGTAGGTCACTGGGGCTAAATGATAGGCTTAGGTTAACCCTTTTGCCCTGGGTAGGTTAAATTGCACGAGTTACGACGTTTTGGAGTGTTATTTTCAAAATTTTATTAAATAACATTTTTACTACTTACATTAATGAAATTGGCATCAAACCGTAGTTTATAATTTAAATTTTGATATTATATATACATGTTTTAATTTCTTAATTTAAAAGGAATGTAAAGAAAGAAAATGTTAAATATTGATTTTATGTGTAACATAACACATCAAATTGTCTTATTGTTCAGTTGCCATTTTATTATGCCCACCATACAATATGTATAAATAGCTAACGAATTAGAAACTCTGATTTGAAATATAGACAAGCTCCTTCCTCTATGATTTGCTGAGATAGCAATGTAGTGGCTCCTCCCACTGCACCAGTCTTTTGAAAGCTCTTATTTAGTCCCACCTACTACTAATTAGCTACTGCTTATAACCAATAGAAAGAACATTTTCACCCCTACGTAACTCTGACAGTTGTTTATAAATAGCTTGAAGGAAAAATAATAATTTTGCCAAAACCATTGAAGTGTGATGATTTAGTCATTGCTCTGAACAGGAATGGGATTTTTTTAACCCACATACAGTTTATGTAGAGACCCGACTAAATTACAGGGATTTTGAGTGTGCTAGTACAGTAATTTGATAACTTTTGGTCTTCAAAAATTCATATTTGAAGCCTAAAAAATTAGTACCTCTATTCCCTCCACCCAAGGCTTAGCAACTTCGACGCACAAGTGCAACATTTCGTAACACGGTTACGTACTCAAAATCTTTGTTCGTCAGTGTATTTCTCATTTACTTTATAAGTGTGGTGAAAGTGAGAGGGTAGTATCATTTATAAGAATGTGCCCAAATAACACCTTCATATACTTATTCTGCAAAATTCCACACACATTAAATTGGTGACCATAGTACTGAAACACCTGCTATGTAATTAGATAAGCCTGGCTCAGAACCTACAATGTTTATTGGATCAGCCTAACTCTGAACCACATAATAAATGTTTTTACACATTCTAATTACAATTTTATTACCCTGGGAAATTCCTGTTGAAAGTGTTGTAGGAACTATAAACTGCTATATCCCATATTGTTTTTGGAGCAAGGGGAATATCACCTAACTGAATGCGTGTGCGTTTTTGTGCTCGAGAATTTCGTATTACGGTTGTACGTAAGCACTGTGTCGTATAACACGGGTGGTGAATTATTGTAATTTGTCAGTGACAGTAAAATAAACAAAGAAAGTATATGGGATATGTTTTGCAGTTGAAACTGTCAGAAAAAGGAAACAGCTGCTCATTATATTTCTGATTTTACAATTTTTCTTTTCATTCTACTTCAGTGAGTTGTCTACAGGCTGAAGAATCAAATAATAAATCTAATAACAGGCAAAATATAATGTTTTATTGAAAAAAAAGGTATATATGTATTTAGGAGGTTTCAGAGGTTGT